GGGGGGGGGGTGTCCTTTTCCAAACACTCCAAATAGAGATCTTGCTTTCTGAGATAGAGCAGGGCAGCGAGCTAAGAGGAAAATGTGAAGCAGACAACCGACTGCAAAAGGCTACATGCTGTACGTTAAAGATGGAAAGATTTGAAAGCAGTTCTTTGACCTTAGCTTTCTTGGCAGTTGCATCGTGGACAAGATGAATTTGCATCATAAATATTCATAAATAAAGAGAGGTGCTTTCTCTCCTCTACGATTAAAAATAAAAACGTGTAAATGAAGTGTCTTTTCTCTCAAATACAGTTTTTACAAACTCAAAAGAAGTATAATAAATCTAAGAAATATTGGAGGACTGGGCTTGTTGCTGTGTAAACACCTGGGTTTAAAACGTTGATGTCTAAGAGTCATTTGAAAGGTTAAAGCAATAGTTTGACATGTGTTAATACGCCTTTTTGCCTTCTTACCAAGAGTTAGAGGTAAAGATTGATTTCATTCTCATGTCTGTACAATAAATGTGAACCTGGAGCCACTAGCAGTTAGCTTAGCTTAGCACAAAGGCTGGAGGAAATGGCTATGCTTGCTCTGTCCTGTCCAAAGAAAATACAAGTCGCAATACACCAGCAGCTGTACAGCTAAGTAAAGCTGACAAGTTGTACCTTTAGTGCAAGTTATGTGTCGGACTGTTTCTTGGCCGGGTCACGGTGACTTTCAAGAGACTTGTCATCACGGTGAGGCTGCCAGGCAACCTGTTTCCAGTCTATATGCTAAACTTAGCCAACCAATAGCCTGGCTGTGGCTTCATATTTAATGTACAGATATGAGAGTGGTATCAATCTTCTCACCGTACTCTTGGCAAGAAAGCAAATCTCAAAGTATTACTTCAAGCTGCTGCTTGAAGTGCAAGTGATGGGTGGAAATAACTGCAGAAAGGAGTTGTTTAAGACTTTACAGTGTGTACACTAATCTCTCTATTTTCAGAACTAACAAAGGTTCTAGGCTAAAGTCCTGTGTCCACATAACATATTTTTCTGAGCGCAGTTCACTTTTGTCAATGGTTCCCAATGACAAGTAAGCAGTCACCATTGCATTTGGCTTAGCCCAGCCCGCACCTTTTTGCGCGCTCAGCCGATTTTGTGTGGTCACTCTGAGCAATACTATTCCAAACAGTGCTAGTTGAATATATCACAACTTTTCAAATGTGTGGATGGGGATCACTTTTTTGACAGCCTGTCGAAAGATGTCCAGCCACTTTATGTGTTAATTTGAATAGTTTCACAGGGCTTGTGCTGGATCAGACTCGGTTGCAAATTCTGCCCAAAAAATAACAGTTAGACTTTATTAAGACGATTTCATATTCAATTTTATGAAGCACATTTGAATCTATAAAAAAAGTCTCAAATATCTCTGCCAGCATGTTCCCATCATTTCCCATCATGCCTGTGTTTTTCTGATCAGTGCTGTTTTTTTATTTCAAGCTGCAGAACGCTTTGCCTTGCTTTCCGCTCTACCATGCAACCAAAGCCAAACTGCCAAAAACAATGATCGACACCCAATCCTCTGATCTCTGTGTTAATTCTTCCAAAGTGTGAAAATCATGCTGTAACAATCCTGGTGATGTCACTGTAGAAAATTCAGAAGAAGCTTATATTTGGCCTTGTTTGTCTATCCTGAATCTTATATGTCCACGGTAACGTATTTCTGCCAGAAAAATGACACCTACACATGGTAGGTGTTTTAATTAACATAAGTTACACCAAACATAAAGTTCTTCACATTTATGTTGCCTTCTTGGAGCTTTTATCAACTGTAACTGCAACTGTAAGTTTGTACTCGTGAGCTGCATCCCCACACAGTCTCCTCTGTCCTGCCTGTGTATCAGTCCATCATGTGGCCTGGATCTACACGTCTTTAAACGCTTCAGCTGCAGCTGTTGGGTGATAACTGAAACCTGCCACCAGTGACAGACTAATGTGGTACCATGGTGCCTGTCATGTGAAGGGAAATGGGAAGTCATGGTGAGTCATGATTGGCCACGGCTAAACTGATGTTAGCAGGGGGCACAAGTTTTCTTTTCATCCCTCTCACCCCCCTCCGGATGACTCGTGGCACTACAGAATATGAATCTTAATGAAATCATCTCTCTCTGTCCGACCACCTCTGCATCGATCTCTCCTGCACAGACAGCAGAGGGCTCGACATAATGTGATGCATTATGGATTACAGATTACCATTTTAAATTGCAATCAGGACAATAAGAGATTAGATTGCTTCAAGGCACTGACATAATAAAACAACCCTTGTCCGTCCAAAGTATGCAGTGTGTGAGTGTGTGTTGATGGATGTTTTCATGAGGGACAGATGCAACTGTATCATGAGTTTTTTTTATGTGATAAACAAATAGACAGAGGAACCATATTGAATGCTTATAATGTAGCCTTTGTCTAGACACAGACTGCTCCTTTGTCTCAAACATGATGTGTGTGTTTGTGTTTATTCTCCTCTACATGAAGTGAGGATAGATGAAGTTTTCTGTTTATCATATCTAAATGGACATCTTAATCTCATGATTTGAGAATACATGTTAAATATAATACATATAAAAGGGTTGTCCTTGATTAACTAAATACTCATCAGATAATAAACAGGGATAATAGACACAGAAATACAACGAACCACTTCAAATCGTGTGTTTACTAGATGCTCAGAAAGCATTTTGGAAATAAGTCAATGAGCATGACCAAGCATAAAGAATTACTAATTTACTAAATAAGTCTTAGTCGACTTAGACCGAAGCTACCAATTGGTTGACTAAACGGCTAAGAGGTAATAATATTTGTGAGATAAAAAGAGAATAAGTGGGCAAATGAGACGCCATTTGACATCCAGACAAGGAGCCGGAGACACTGGTTTGTGTGTGTGTGTGTGTGTGTGTGTGTGTGTGTTTGTGTTTGTGTGTGCGTGTGTGTGTGCGTGTGTGTGTCAGGGTTGTTGCTGATAATCACTCGGGGACCACGTACGTCTGCCCCCCGCAGACACACACACGCACCCTTTGCTTCTTCCCCCTTGGCCTCTTGCCCTCTGACCCCAACAGCTCAAATATTCAGCCTACCCCTGCACACACACACGCACGCCCGCCCCGCCCGTCCGTACGCACGCACGCACGCACGCACGCACGCACGACCGGCGGACGGCACGCACGCACCCACGCACGCACGCACGCACGCACCCGCACACACACACACACACACCACCCACACCACACACCACACACCACACACACAACACAACACATTCCGCCTGGCAGGGACTTAAAATAGCACTGTTGCTTTTAGGGACACTTGGTAAATAACTTACGCATAGCTCCGATTTACTCCCAACCTTCTGTACATATCACACTCTTTAC